ACCTTGAGTTCTACCAAGTCCTTTGATCCGACGGATTACAACGATTCTGGGAATATGCAAACGGGAACACCGGGCGAATCTCCGTCGGAATATGACAAGGACGAGTCTCAATCAGAAAAACGCTGTCGACATACGCGAGAAGCACTTCAAACTCTCTTGAATGTCATCGTATCGTCAAACAGCGACAATGAGGAAATTGAGGCCAAGAAAAGCAATGATGGCATTCTGAAATTGGCTCTGCACAGACTTGCCAGTGAGTTGACACTATTTATCTCAATTGCTTCATGTGAAGAGTTACTCAAAAGAGAATTAAAGTGAGACCCCGAGATGCGGACATAATTGATGCATCAGGAGTGTCCCTGAGTTGAATTGCCCCTAAGTCGAGTCTTGTTTTCCCATGAATTTACATTAAATAATTTTTAATTGGTGTTTTATGAAAGAAATATTCTTCAGAATTCCATGAAAAAATGTGTTTGCCACTTGAATTTGATTTAGTGAATATATTTTCAACTCAATAAGAACATTTGAAGCATTGAATAGCGTATCTCTGTACAGTACATTGAAATGCTGGCATCTACAAAACTAACATTTAAGTCACAAAAAGAGAAGGAAGTCCCTCTATACCATAGGTAATTTTTTTAATTAGGTGAATGGATGGGAAAATAAATGACAAATAATATTTTTTGCATAAATCTTAGGCTTGGAAATATCTGTTTCTTGCAATCAAGCCAAATAAAAGTCAATTTTTGTGAAATTTACTGGCAATTTCATCATGCAATGTCCTCATGTTGTGTCAGTGTTCATATGTCGGGCCTTTTCATGCCCTTTTTATTGAAAAATAAATGTCCCTATTTCGAATTGTCCTCATGTCGAGGTGTCTGCATGTGGGGGTTCACATTGTACAGTAATTACGATAAGGTTAGCTCAAAAGTTGCTGTACGAGCGTTGTCCCAGTTGAATGTTACTGTTACAGAGAATGTCAACATTTCTATCCACTGTACAGAGGTATCAGTATTCAATTCCCCAAATGTCCATATTGTGTTGAAATACTGTATATCAATTGAATCACTTTCAATTGGGAAACAATTTTTATTTTCGTGGAATTATGGTGAGTATTTGGTACTTTCCTGTTACTGTTATCTCTGTACCTTCCCTCTGACCAATTTAACCTGACCTAACCTAACTTCACGTAACCGCCTCCCAAAATCAGTTTCTGCTTTCTTTGAGTTTCTGCAGAAACTTATTTTGGGAGGCGGTTAGGTAAAGTTAGGTTAGGTCAGGTTATGTTAATTAAAAGATATTTGTAATTAACATAACCTGACCTAACCACCTCCCAAAATCAGTTTCACCTGATAACAGGAAAGTACCTAGTATTTTGTCCATAGAACACCAATTAATAATTGACTTTGGGACATTTCAACTCAAAGACACTCTTGATGCACCAATTACGTCCGCATCTGGGGGGGTCTCACTGTATATACAGTAATCAGTGTCACATCCCAAGAACTCGTAGTAAGCATAAAATGCTAGAAAAAGCCTGGGTTTAATTGCTCCTGATGACGATTTTTTTTCCACTGCGCAGAAAGAAACCTCAGCTTGGAGATGCAACTGAAACACCTGGTGGCCGAACAACGGTGTCAATGCCCAGCAGAACTGGGGGAACTCGTCATAGAAAACGGCCCTTCCCCGTACACCCCGGATCCCGCCAATTTCAGCCCGCAAAAATCCGGTGTCTGGAGCCCCTCGTTCACGATCGCCAAAATAACCCCGCGCGCCAATTACAGCTCCTCCACCGCGTCCGACTCCGACCTCCGCGCTCTTCAAACCAGATGCGAGAAATTCGGCAAGGAAAACGCGAAAATGAGGATGGAATTGCAAAAGCTGAAAATCACGCTGGAAAACGAAAGGATCGAAAAGGCTTTGCAACCTATCCACGTCAGACAAGCGTCGAAGAAGAAGAAACAACAACAGAAACTGATTGATGACGGTGATGACGGGAAGCGTCCGAGTCCTGTTCGGTTGTTCAAAGCGACGCGGAAATTTGGCACGAAAATCGGTCATGCTTCTGGGCACCACAAACACAGCAGCAAGAATAAGAACCCAGCACAAAACCCGGGTTCGCAAGTTATCAATGAGGGCGAAATTGCACCGACATCGAAGTTGCATCCTTGCGTTTGTTTACATGATTCGAACAGCACCAATTCCCACACAACACCTCCCACGTGATCCTTTCCTGTCTTAATTTTCAAAAAAAAAAGAAGAAGAATATCCATCTAGCTGCGGATTCTCTTGTTGATGACCCAATTTGTACTATGATGACTACGAATACGATTCTCCACGGTATCACGAAAGATTTCCTGCTTTCATTTCATATTTTTCCTTCGTTCATTCGAACGGATTTTCTCTCGGAGAAATTATAGCGTTTCTCCGTTTTTTTCCCCTGACTCATTTGAGGGGTCTAACAAAAGTTCTTGGAATAAAAATTGAAATGGCATATGATTTGAGCATAAAAAATTATTTTCATAAGAAAACATACTTTGGCACAAGAAAAACTTCTTCCCCGTTTGTCATCAGTATTCTGAATCAAAATTTCACAGAAGTCGCAAAATAAGTCAATTTGAATAAAAACTGAAATTGCATATTGTTGAACTGAAATAATTATTGTTCAGCAACATTTTTTGGCACAAGAAACATTCTGCCCCGTCGGAGGCACAGTATTTTGCTGAAGTTAGAATATTCCTCACATCGAGCAGGGCAGAATCCGTTTCTTGTGCCAACGAATCTTTTTTTTAACAATAATTTTTTTTTGGATCAATCACATGCCTTTTCAATTTTTATTTTGATAACTTCTGTGTACATCTTGGTATACAGTTTGAGAGTTCGTTTTCAAACTGATAACGTAGTTAATTACCCTGAATCGATAATTATATTTCAAGTAAACTAATTAATTTTATGCTTGTCATACTAGAGTTTGAAACCATCTAAGCAAACTGCAAGTCTTCAAGTATTATGGTCGGAGATGATCAATTTTCGAAAACTTTTCACTTCTGAACAGCTTCAAGTGCTTGCGATACACTTCTGGTAATTTTTGTGGTCTCGACTTGTGTCTGGATGAGCGAAAATTGCTTTTAAGCCAAAGAAAAAGATGAGCATCAAGCGTAAAAACTACGACAATTGATCTCCAGCAAGTATGTGAACCGCAGAACAAATAGATTTCGAGAAAACGGAATAAAACTGGGCACTTCTACACATTCATGTTTCTCATCAGCCACAACGGCGCCAAAAACACAAACAAAATTAGCCCAATAGTTCATGACTTCTCGTTGGCAGGGTAACCCGACTCACAACAGTCAACAGCAACGCCATAAAAACATTTCTAGACATATCTCACTTCCCCCGCACGGAGTACCGAAA